TTGTAATGTGGCTCAAATCAGCTGCTTTAGTCCAGCTCCAGTAGCTGCTCAGTTTAGGCTACAGGCTCCATAGTCGGCTATATTAGAGATTAGATGTGAAATTACAGTTATATTGTGTTACTCAGACTACAAACATGAGAAAGTTCACTGTTAACCAGCATATTGAAGGGTTAGTATCATGTAGTAACATTAAGAAATCAGCTGTACATTAGACTGTATTTTGTCTCATTAACTGTATGAGTAGTTTCCCTCTAGCTGGGCTTTGGTACAGACAGCCTTTTATAACATCTGTTTAATGTGTGATTTTACAATAATCAGTGAGTACAGAGACGCAAAAGAGACAAGCAGAGAGAGAGAGAGAGAGAGAGAGAGAGTGGTAAATGAAACAACAATATCAATTTGAAACTATCACCTGATTTAATACAGGTTTAATGTATTTTTTAGCTGAAAATAAACATAAATAAATAGTTAAATGACTAATTAAACTTCAACAGGGCAATTGAAGTCAAATAAGTTTATGGAACATTAATAGCAGTTTATGGAAGAACGGAGGGATGAAGAAGGAACAAATGAAAGAAAAAGGTGCATAACAGTTGTATATGGGTAAAAAAGGAGCAGTGATTGAATAAAAAAACAAAAGGAGAAACTTACTGTTGCTGTAATTCTTATATCAAGTAAGTAACATTTCTGCAAAATGGACCTCACAAAAATTCTGACCCCAGTTATGGCCCTGTTAGCAGTTGTAAGCGGTGTGTTGCTGACCCCTGCCTTACCTAATGTGGAAAAAACATTTTCGTAATAGAGTATTACTTATAGTACTCGGCAGAGCCAGGGTCACTGATAAACATTTTGAGACTAAAGTGTTGCTGAAGTTTAAAGGACTCTGAATGTCATGTCTGTACATTTCTTGCTTGTTTAAATTTGAAGAGTTTTATTTTTAACAGTTGACAATGCTTTGCACAAAATTGTTTGGTTTTTATTTGGTTATTTTTGTTGATTTTTGTTAGGAAAAACCTGTAATTATTGACTTTGCCTTTACTTAATCTACATTTTTGTTGGATATCATACCTTTGGTTGTGTAGGTTTGATTGTTGGTTACACTTAAACTCACTTTTTGGTGATCTTTTTGTAGATTTGCAGCTGTTCAGTTGCATGTTTCTTTCTGGCTCGTGGTTAAATGCAGTGTCTTGTTCACAGTTGGGCTTATTTGGTGTGTCAGGTGGAGATTCACAAACATTCTGACAGTCGCGCTTTGAAAGTAGCTAAAAAAGTAGCAGCTACACTTTTTGGGAAAGTAGCTACAAAGTAGCTAACTACAATTTTTTCAGTAGCTATCCCAACCCAGTATACATATATCTATCTATCTATCTATCTATCTATCTATCTATATATATATGTTTATATAGCTGTTGTGGCTGGACAGCTCTATTACACACTCAGGTCTGTACGTAAAGAGAATATATGAGAATGTGCTGAAAAAGATCAACAAGCCCCACGAGCAGTTACACTGTCCTCGTCTCACTCTTAAAAACAGTTCTCTTCCTAAAGGATAATTCTAAAATTGTATTTATTAAATGTAAAATGTAAAATTTATTTCTATACCTAATGTGGCGATTCAAATTAAATTTCCTAAATGTTGTTACAATTCTGTACACTGCAAAATTCGAGACATCTAAAATAACGCTTGACTGTATAAATTGTTTTTCTTCAGCATCTAGCATTCAGTTTTTTTTACGACTAAAGTAAAAGTTTGTCCAAAGGTAAAATTCTCTTGTTACCCCAAATGTGGTTGTGCAGTCAAGGCATGTTTGGTGTCAGAAGTTTGCTTCTTTAGTTTTGCAAAAGAGTTTCAAGGATAGTGTAGTTAACAAGTAATAGAGGTTTATAACCCACCAGTTAGCATTCTACAAACTACATACCTAAATCATTACATTTACATGTACATTTAAGCTCTTATACACAGTGACTTACAAAAGTCCTCTCAGAGAACGTAGCCTAGCCAGCACAAATAGGTTAATAGTCCAAATTATGCTGAGCTGCCAGAAACAAAAGCCAGTTGTAATACCTGCAGAATTAGATATTATACAGAATTAAACATGGCATAAATGTAACAGACACATTTCAAAAATTACTTAGATTAGTGCTTCACAAAGATATTGGTCTTCAGTTTGCGTTTGAAGACCATGAGGGACGTGGAAGTTTGTTTCATCACCTGAGAGCCAGGAGAGAGAAGAGTCTTGATGCTTGTCTTCCACGCATTTTGAATGATGGCGGGTTCTTGAAGCTTGAAAGGCTCGACGTACAGATCAAATTTTGACCCCGGCCATAAGGTCGGGAAGGCCGGACCATTTTTGGCTTTGTAGGCATAGGGGTTTAAATCTGATGCAGCTACAGGAAGCCACTGAAGGGAGCGCAGCAGTGGAGTGACGTGACTGAACTTAGGAAGACTGAAGACATGCTGCTGCATTCTGGATGAGTGCACTGGATTTACAACACAAGACAGAACGAGAGCATCATTGCGAAACGGAATGCGGCACAATAACTGTTTATCTCAATTATTTTGCTTTCATAATTGTTGGAAACCAAAATTGTAACTGAAAATAAAATTTGATTAATCATCCAGCCCTTATACAATGTGCCTTTTGCTGTTTTCTTTTAGCGTTTTACAGTCAGTTTTATATGGTTAACTTTGACAGCTGCTTTAACACGGTGGGCTGCTCTGGATATCATGCAGGTCCTGTACTGTCAAGAAGGAAACTTTTAGATGGGCAAGACGACAAGAACTGGCTGCTGCATGGAGCATTAAGATACATCCTAAGTGAAATGTTTAAAGATATGTGCCGTGTTACATTGAATACACAGCAGGGCTAACAGGGCAGTGAAGACCGAAAGTAGAATGAAAGTATAAAAGATAGATGGAGACGCAGGCGGCTGTTAAAAATACATAAGCTAACGCACGAGCTACACTTTTAAAAGGCTGTAAACAGGAAAAGACTTCACATGAATGGATGCACCTGGATGGGGTGAAAGAAAAACGTGAGGCAGTTTAGGCCTCTCTCTCTCTCTTTCTCTCTCTCTCTCTCTCTCTTTCTCTCTCTCTCGCGCTCTCTCTCTTTCTCTCTCTCGCTCTCTTTCTCTCTGTCTCTCTCTCTCCTACGTCTCTCTCTCTTTCACCTTCTTACTTCACTCTCTCTTCTCTCTCTCTTCTCTCTCTCTCTCTCTCTCTTTCTTTCTCCCCCTCTCCTCTCACTTTATTCTTTTTTTTGCTCACTCTCTCTAAAATAGCCCCTGTTTCTGTTTTTGTGTGATGGCACTTCTCTAACAGCCGGTGAACTTTTCCAGGTTGAGTCGTTTTACTTTTAAAAGCAAAGCATGAACCTCATCACTGAGGTAACTGTGGGTTTACTGTCTCCACTTTAAGAAACTTTTTGGTATCTAAAGCCAGCTAAACTCTCCATAGCCATGATCTCATATCGTAAAGCTAAAGTTGGCTGGAGATGAGTTGTTTTGGGTCTAAAAATAAAGATATGATTGAATGCTGTGACAGTGGAACTAAGGCATTTTGCTTTATACAGTGGCGGACGAAGTACACAAACCATGTACTTGAGTTAAAGTAGAGATACCCATGGTAAAATATTACTCCAGTAAAAGTAGATGTTCCTCCCTTTAGACCTCCACTTGAGTAAAAGTACAAAAGTATTTGCCTTCAAATGTACTTAAGTATCAGAAGTAAAGGTATTAAAAGATTAATTATGACTCTAATGTCCTATTATCATTTTTGTAACAAGACTCCTGCTTTATCAACTCATTTTAGGTGAAAATACTCCAGTGTCACTTTTGGTAAACCAATCTTTTAATAGAATGTCATTAATTAGTTATTAATTAATTAGTGACTAAATTCAGAAAACATGCCAGTCACAACTGCATATGTGTACATATTTCTATATTTTGGTCTATTTCCACAAAGTTAGGTTAGTTCATCATTTATGTTGAATAGACACTCCCGAACTTTTACACTGCTGCACTGATGTTGCACCGTGTGCTGCACTGGGTCGGTATGTCCAACAGGTCAAAACAAGCTCAAAACAAAGTGCGCGCTGTGCCCTGATTGGTCACGTTATGTTTTTATGCACACATAAACCAAAAGGAACGACAGATTTCTCATAATGTAGTGGAGTAAAAAGTAAGATATTTGACTTTGAAATGTAGTGGAGTGAAAGTAAAAAGTAGACCAAAATGGAAAAACTTCAGTAAAGTACAGATACACAAAAAAAACCTACTTAAATACAGTAAGGAATTATGTTTACTTAGTTACTGTCCACCACTGCCTATTAGACATACATGCTACACATATTAAGCATATATGTCCAATATTTCATACTTACATAAACAAAGACAACCCCAGGAAACACTAAATGCTGTTTATAAATGATGATTTTATTTATTGAAGCCCTTATAATTTCAAATTACACAAAAATCAATGGAGCAGACAACCTTTATATTAATAAATATCAATATCCAAACGTTCTCACATCCACTACCACACCTTCATTTGCTCACCTTCACAGCAACTGCGCGGTGCAGAAGGACTACAGGCCCGGAGAACCCTTAGACCTGCAGTGTTATGGCGCCCTCTCCTGGAACTGTGAATTTCAGACTGCAGTACATAAAGCGCAGGTAAATAAAGCGACTCAGAGCCGAGCAGGATCAGAGATCTTTACATGTGCAGCGCGTATTTGCGCTGTCGTGAATAAGTCATTTAGTGTCGTTACTGTTTGTGCTTGGCGAGCTTGTCCAGCTTGCTAACCACACCAACATGGCGGATTTTGCTCGCCGCCAATCCAGCCTTGATCGCGCCCATTTCGCAGGAATGTCAAGTACGACTGACTCAAAGCTGCTTCGCTAAAGTGCAACACTTAAATGAAAAGTTGTGCTAGAAAAACTCGGCCTCTACTAGGACTACATTTACCATCCAGTTGTGAGACTACAAAAAAACGTCATGACGTACATGACGCAGGACGTGACTACGTGTTGGGAATGACACAGGAAGCTGGACGAGGCAGCAGTTGAGGTTGTAGTTGTGTAAAAAAGGACAAATTTGTCCGAAACTGTGGAAAAACTGCGGGACAGCAGGTTCGTACAGCCTTTACATCTGGAGATTGTGTAGAAGAAGCAGCAGATTGTAGAATTTATCCCGAACTGATCAGATTGAAACGTCAACAATGAGGCCCCAGATATCGGCAGGGAAACACTGACAGTGTACAAACTGCAGTTTATAACAGTAGAATAGGCATTTATTACTGTTCATTGTGCAGGTATGATAAATTATGGCTTTTCCTTTTAAACAACGAGTTAAATGCTGTAATCGGAGGCCTGAGCTCGCGTCCTCTTTGCTATCTTTGCTCTTTTGTAGACTAAGGGTTTTAAAATTTAATACAATGTTTGTTAAATTGCATGATTGGCTTAAAAGAGTCAGGTATCGGCTTTCAGATATTTATTTATTAATATATGCTCAAGGAAAGTGATTAGTGAGTTTTTGAGGGCTCCAGATTAACTGGACCTTTGAACTGGACGTTTACAGGTATTCTAAGGTGTAAAAATAACATTGCCAAAATTCTGCTCTCCCCTGTCAAAATCATCATTTTTGAACGTATGATATATATCACATAATCTACACACCAAGATAAGTTACCAGACTAAGTTTGTTTTGAATCAGACCTTCAGAGAGGGGAGTATAATTTTGGCAGGTTCAGAGTTAAAGGTTCAGCAATCTGCTGATATTTCAACCAAATTTAATCTTAAAAATAACTGCAGTCTTAATCCCAATAGCCAACTTCATTATGCAGTACAGTGTACGCATGTTTATAACATACTTGATTAAGCACTCTAGAATTGTCTTACTCAGATATCACTTAGCTAGCTAACTGGACACAAGCAAGGGTCTCTATATTTCATGAACAGAGAAATAGAAGTCACGCTGTCCAATAATGACAAGGAAAAAAAGGTAATACTACAACTTCACATCGTCAGACTGTGTTCTCGTAATACTTATTATGACTGAAAGGCAAACAGCCCCCCAAGTGCTGCGCCAACAACTGTTTTTGGTTCGTTACATTAAATTAAACTAGCACTGTGAGACTGTTTGGCTTTAGGTCCTGTTCTAGTATTTTCTGTAAATGAAAATTAAAGATTAACCGTTATTTACACAGCCTTCCACCCAGTGAGTGCTGGGATAGGCTCCAGCTCCCCCTGCGACCCAGAAGGATAAGCGGCGTAGAAAATGTGTGTGTGTGTGTTTGTGTTATTTACACACACAAGCAACTGAAATGCGAGTGTAATCTGCAGCGTCCATATTCCTGCGTGACGGGAGTGAAATTCTGCCAGGCCGCTTCGTCTCTGGAACGTGGTAGCTGGACTGCTAACCGGATTGTTTAGCGCGTTTCATCATCAGGGCATCTAAACAGCCTAATGATCATAATGCCCTCGTACGAATGCGACCATGTGACATTTTAACTTAAGCACTTTAAAAATGGCCCTGTTTATATTAACTCTTTTTCTTTTGTTCTATAACAGTATGTTGCCCACCACCACATACTCCCCCCAGAGGCAGGGCAATGGCAGCCTTAACTCGCGGGATGCGGCGCGGCACACAGCTGGCGCAAAGCGCTACAAATACCTACGCAGGCTCCTGCACTTCAAGCAGATGGACTTTGAGTTTGCCATGTGGCAGATGCTCTACCTGTTCACGTCACCGCAGAGAGTGTACCGCAACTTCCACTACCGGAAACAGACCAAAGACCAGTGGGCTCGGGACGACCCTGCTTTTCTGGTGCTGCTCAGCGTCTGGCTTTGCGGTTAGTACAGAGGGAGTTTGGGGCTCAGGTCGGGGGGGAGGCATAAGGATCGTACCTAATAGACGTGCATGGTAATTTAAAGGTACAGACATCCAAACTCACCTTACTTACTTCATTTAGTTGTTAAGGACTCAAAACAGGCGTGTAGTAAGAAATAAATTAAACAAATAGTGTGATGTAGAATATGGTGACACAAGCAGCCAATTTTATGTCTCACATTAAGCCCAAAAGGCACAACTAGACAGATCTGTGTCTGGGCATATTTCTAAACTAAAAGATGACAACTTTGTATAGTTTAAAGTTGTGTGAGTTATTGTTTTGTAGGTCAGCTGGTAGTATATCACACAAAGCTAAAACACAAAGATAAATCACTAAATCTATCCAGCTATCAAGTATCAGTGTTGTTAAATATAACAATGTGAAATACTTTCTTATTGGGATATTTGAATATATTTGTTTAAAAGTTTGGGTATTCAAACAGCAGGAATGGGTTAATATGCCCATCCCTAGTTTCTTACAATCCTGAATAACATAAAAACCTTATGACCTGTAAAAACAGGAGCACTGTAAGAAAAAGGCAGCATGCAGCACATTGCCCTGCCTTTGTTTTGAGTGTATGAGAGTGAATGAGAGTGAAGTTGTTGTTTTGTTTTGCTTTTCTCCGCAGTGTCCACCGTGGGCTTTGGGCTGGTGCTGGATATGAGCTTTTTGGAGACACTGAAGCTGTTACTGTGGGTGGTGTTCATCGACTGTATTGGAGTGGGGTTGCTCATTTCCACACTCATGTGGTGAGGTCAATGACAGATTACCACAAATGCAGTCTTCTTGAAATTTTACAAAGCATGATCATTTATAATTATTTAATCATTAAAGTTCACTGGATATTTTGGCATGTGTGTGTTTTCTTCTAGGTTTGTGACTAATAAATACCTCATGAAGCATCATAGCAAAGACTGTGATGTGGAGTGGGGATATGCCTTCGATGTTCATCTAAATGCTTTCTACCCTCTGTTGGTCATCCTACACTTTCTACAGCTGTTTTTCATCAATCGTGAGTAGTCTAGTACAATTCAGTACACTGTATGCCCATTTTGTACAGTGCTGTAAATTTTTTATTGTGTTTGTTGACTCATATTTCTCTGTTTGAATAGACATTGTGGTCATAAAATCAGGGTCGTTCATAGGATATTTTGTGGGGAATACATTGTGGCTCATTGCCATTGGCTACTACATATACATCACATTCCTTGGCTACAGTGGTAAGTGTGTGCTCCTTAGTAGTTCCTTCATATATGTGACTTTTTGTATCTTTAGTTGTTCTTGTAATTTTTATTTATTTGCATTTAAAGTATTTTTTCCATGTTTTGCTATAATTTCGTACTACTATTACTTACCACTTCCTATTACTTTATTTTTTTCAACCACTATTATTATTACCGTTATTATTACTATTTTTCTTCTTCTTCTTCTTCTTCTTCTTCTTATTATTATTATTGCTACTTCTACATTATCAAACAGTTATGAGACAGTTGCCAGTTTTAACGACATATCAAACTGTACAACCCAATTATTACCATACTGTTTCAAATTTTAATAATTCCAACAGCTGTGTAAAACACATCAAAGGTAAATTGGAAGTAAACCTACTTGTTGAACACGAACCAGGACAATGCATGTTTACACAAGACGTCTAGTCAAACTCAAGGCTGCAGCCGAGGTAGGAGAGACATCGCTAGCTCTGGTATAAGAAAGATCCTCTTCAGTGTGCGTGAACGCACTTCCAAGACGGCCTGCACAGGCTGTACCGACATCATGGCTTCCAGGCGTATACTTACATTACAAACTCTGGTTCCATCAACTTGTCACTCACAAGCCTATTTCTAAGGGTGGAATCATGAACCTTGTCTGAGGTGAGCAGTTCCCTTAGATGTTCATCTGGGTTCTTTTGTATCTTCCTGGAAGAGTCGTCACCTTGTTCTTAGAGGATTTTTGGTATGCGAGTCACTTCTGGGAAGATTCATCATTGTTCCAAGTTTTCTCCCAGAGCCATAGAGTGGTTTTACAACCCTTTCCAGACTGAGACACATCAATAACTTTGTTTTGTCGTCTCTATCAGAAATTCTTTTTATCGCAGCATAGTGTTCGACCTTTTAGCCTACTTCACATTCCTGGAAAGGTTCTGTTTAAGGGAAGTTTAGATTCTACAGGGCTGTGAGTAATGAAGCCTGAGTGTGTCAAGTTTAATTGGTTCCAGTTATCAACTAAGTTTGGTAAACTGTGTAACTAATTACAGTTACTTTTTTACACATGGTCATTTGGTGTTATGTCATGGGTACAATTTTTTTCTTAAAGAAATCGAAGAAACTAAATGAAGACACAAACTAATCCAGTTTTGAAAGCTGAATTATTTCGCATGCTTTTGTTATAAATGTCTTCAGCTGTGTAGCCATACAGGCCTTTGTTGTTGTAATTTGAGCTTAATAATGCACCACACATTTTCAGTGGGAGACAGGTCTGGACCGCAGGTAGGTCAGAAATCCTTGCAAACGCTCAAAAACATTATTTTTAAACTGTTGGACTTTTTTGCCGATGTGTTTTTGGCATCACCTGTATAAGTTTTGAGAGTTTTACAATGCTGCTAGTCTGAAACTGGCCCTGTTCCAACTTTTTTGGAATGTGTTGAAGGCATTAATTTCAGAAGTTGATAAGTTAAAACATTACATATCTTGTCTTTGTACTGCTTTCATTTAAATACTGGTTAAAGTAGATTTAAAAATCACTGTGTTCTCATTTTATTATATTTGGAATGGGGTGTGTGGATAGTTTTGGCATTATAAAGAAATATGAGAGGTTCGATTAAAAAAAATCTGTCAATAAAATGCACGTAGAAAGTGAGTGTCTGTGTTTTAACAATGCAATGATAATCCCCAAAAGAACCATGACAGTTTTGCTCACTGATATCGTGATGGGACATTATCGTCCTCTTGTTCCTACAATCAACATAACATTGTGATTTAGTTAACTGTTTGTGCAGAGATGGTGAGAAGACTTACTTTCTTACAAACTCTCTCTCTCCATTTCTTTTTCTAGCACTGCCCTTTCTGAAGAACACAGTTATTCTCCTCTACCCTTTCGCTCTGCTTGTGCTTCTCTATGTTCTCTCCATCACCTTGGGCTGGAACTTCACTGCAGGCCTTTGCTGGTTCTACAAGCAGAGAGTCCGATAGGGGGCGCGACGACATCTGCTTGAATGGAACTTGCTGTTTCAGTCTGGATTGTGCTGCTTTCAGAGACTTTCATGGACAGCGCCGTTCTCGCTCCTTGGACTTAAACACTTTTGTATACTTTGTAAATAACAGTTTGACTGTAGGTGAAACAAAAGAGAAAGAATGTGAGAATTGTTTATAAAGTATTGTTCTTTGTTTTGTTTTTTAATTTGATATTCTTTAACTTTTCTGATATTGAACAGAAATGGTGACAAGCCAAGCCTTTTTGGGTAAAGATAGCGCAAATATGTTATGATGGATTTTCTTTGGGTGCATTTCATGATTCTCTATCAGAACAAATTCAATAAACAGGTTTTTACAGTATCACAATGCAGAATAAGCAGGATTGTCTTTTCGTGGCAGGAATAAACAGCTAAAGGATAAGAAGTTCAAAACGACAAAACATGGCAGCTGTAAATCTTTAACTGTATTAGCTTTTTTCATGATGGAAAACACAGTGTCATTTATATGGTGCTGTTAGAACACATAACGCACAGCCTGCATAGCTTTGTCAGTAAATTACAGCAAAGAGGTGCTTATTAGTAAACAATTGGTAAATATAATTGTAGGGCGAGTCATAGATTGTCAGTTGTATCAGAGTAGGAGACAGTTTGGTATCATATTAAGCAAACAGGTTATTGCATAATATAGTTGCACACTGAGTTTAGTGCACACTCAAATTAAATCTAGAGCCTCATAACTACTGGGAAGTGTCCAGCCAATTAAGGCCACTGTTACTATTAACATTTTATTTATTTATTTATTTATTTTTTCTAGTCAACTGTGCAGGGAAAGACTGTTTTCTTCAGACTGGTTTAAAAATCTTGAAGTTGGGCACAATTCCCACAATCCGTGAGTGTAAATTCGACTGCAGGCTGCGCGCAGATGGAGCTGATAAAATGGAAGAGAAGTCAGGGACATTAATGTTTAACCCTAAAGCTAAAAGATGTAGTTTTCTAAAAAGTAATCTTGCGTTATGATTCCTTGGCTGAAGGTAAACCCGTGTAAATATGATTAAACCGAAAACACTAGAATGAGTTTCCCTTCATGTTTTTTTTTTCTCGCAGGGGCACAGCTATTGCGCAAACTCCACACAAGCCACACCCACAGCCTCACTCTTACATCAGCCGTGAAGAACAAAGCTCAGTTATTTTATTGAGGACTTTTTCTGATAAAAGTAAAGATTGCAGATAATGCAGTATGTTGTTTGGGGGGCGGCGGGAGGGGCTTAAATGAATGCCTCCCACCATGCAGCGTTTATCATCCGGCCCGGTCTAAGCACGAGACCACGGTGGCGCTGTAGCGATGAGACATTCGATTCGGTTTACAGAACCGATTCTTTCGAATGGTTCGTTTCAGTAGTTTATACGATTCTTTTTGAAGGGTTCAACCGATCCGATTCATTTTTGTTCCCGTGGCTGAGGGCCAGGGGCTTGATGGCTAGTGAAATCACTGTGGCATGGAACAGCGCCCCCTGGCCCACGGTATGCACTATACAGAACGATACAGGGCTACATAGGGACTAGAGGAATCCACAAAACGACAGGCCTACACTGCAGACTACAGACTGCTGTTAAAAGCAGTAGGAATGAAAAAGCAGGTCAGAAAACAAATTCTATTTGAACTTCTGAGATTAAATGACGTAATTTTATAGAAATCCTTCCGTCAATAACACGCAGATGACTGAATCACTACTGTTCGACTCAGTTGACTCACTGAGGTGAGTCAGTTCAAAAGAACTATCAGGAAGGACAGTGACGTCACACATGCAGCATGGCGGCCAAGGTGACTCTGGTTTACACGGCGTTTGACTAAATTTAGCTTTTTATTTAAACTCACAGCCTGTTTAATATCTAATCATTGTCGGGAGTGGTAGATGTGGGGAGTAGGGGGTCGCTGGGGTCGGGGGGTCGGGGTGTGTGGAGATGTGAGCTGTAGCTGCAGCTGGAGGCTTCAGTCCTGCTTTCAGAGCCGCTTTAAGCAGCTCTCAGTAATGAGGTGAAGCCGCCGCCGCGCCGGGCAGAAACACGTTTACTCCCGGTTCTCTGCGGTGTTTTGTGCAGAGCTGTTCGCTTCTCCTTTGTCAGGATTGAATAGGTTGTGTTGAAAACGTGCTGGTATTAGCGCTCCTGCTGACCGCGGTGGAGCTTGAATTTGTGTGGTTGAAGCGAGTTTTGGTAAACTAACTACCTTGTTTTAGGCAGTAAAGCGTCGAGGTTAGCTGGTAGTTGTGAAGCCTGTTTTATCTTTACTTGCTGTAGTTCTTGTAAGACGCACTTACGGACCTTAACATGTCCTTGTACTAGTTGTGTTGGTCTTGTGGTGTCGGATCTGCAGGCTGCACCGAGAGGCCTGAGCTCCTAACAGCAGTAAGGTTAGTTCTCGGGTTTTAAGTGTTAGTGGTCAGTCAGCTGCAGCTGAGTCAGTGGGTTTAGTGTAAATTGGGTTTATTTGTATTTCTAGTGTTGGAAAGTTTGAAGACAGAACCTACATCTCTTCCTACTTACGTCTTTGAACATGGTATGGTTTAAGATGGGTTTACTTGAACTCTCTGAATCTCTGGATTTTAAAACGGCAGAATTTGCATCTGTTCCTGCCCAGGTGTGAAGTGCAGTCTTGTTGCTTTTACAGGTGCAGTCAACCAAAAGGGCTGATCCGAACGAGCTGAAGGTCATCTTTCAGAAGGTAAGTCTAAGATGATGTTAAACGTTATTCCATTACTGAGTCTGTGACTTTATTCTAAGACATCAACACTGATTTGGCCTAATTTGATTTTTCCTGTTCTCTATTTTCCATAATAGTGTTTTTCTGTTTTTTTTTTGTTGGTGTTTTTGGTTTTGGTTTATCTCCCCTGTCCTTCTTCTATGACCGATATATGTTTCCGAATGGAATGATATTTTATCGGAGGTATAGATGAGTATCAGGTGGGAGGTTTATGTGTGGTCATTTATTTATTTCATTTTATGTATATAGTGTACTTTCATGTCATGAAATGAAGAAAGGTGCTTTACATTCTGAAGTAATAATAAAACAAAATATAAATAAATTAGTCAAATACAGTTAAGAGATAAAAAATAAAAAATAACATGAACGATGTAGAAAAAGCAAGAACTTACTTTTATAACAGAGTAAAAGAACAAAAAAAGATGTTTTAATTTTTCTTAAGAACGGCTGAGTTCCTCAGTGGAACAGGAACATTCTCCTGTCATGGGCCATAATGAGCTAACGTGATTCAGCCAAAATGTGCTGTATATTGTTTATACTCATCACTAGAATTAAAGCACATCATGAGTGTAAAGTTGTTTTTTGGTTTGTGAGAAGATCCTGCAATACACTTGAGTTGCATCATGTCTTCGTATACAATAAGTATCTTAAAGGTCCATGTGCTACATTTTTGAAGTCCACTTCAAAACTTATGATGTGTGGGTTTACCTACTAAAAGCAGTCATAATTTGGTTTTTCGTAACAAGTTGTAACCTTTCTTTATCCTTTAGTGTTTGGCTGCTTGTCTTACTGTGCCTTTAACATGTAATACAGTCGTATGCAGAAAGATAAACCGCCTTGCTCAAATTATGTTTTGTTGATTTGTAAATGAAAATAAATTAACATACCCTCTTCAGGGAACAATATCACATTTTTAATGGTCATCATTGTGTAACAGCATGTTTTTCTAAGGATATTATGTATATGTCAGTACTTCTAGAACACTGAAAAGCTCCATGTATCCTAAAATCATTAGACCTGTGATAGAGAGTAAAGAAAGAACCAGTAATGGCGTTACGATACATATGTTAATATAACTTTTTTTTTTTTGGATATAGGGTTTCTTATTCAAATGTTCTGTTAAACTTTAAGTGGAGCAGCAGTTACAAGTTAGTGCTGCTCCGTTTATGGTGGAAGGAAAATTTTAATAAGCTGGTGAATTGTAAGCCAACTTAGGTCTTGGTAGCTATTTCTCTCAGGGCAGGTTAAATCAGTAGTAGGTTAGGATTTTAAACAAAGCATTTACCTCAAACTTTGACTGCTGCTGATCACATTCCTGATTTTCTTTCTTCACCTCTTTCCCAAGCAGTTTCACTGGAACTAAAATAGGTGGATCATACAGGATTAAAGTGGCCTTGATTTGCTTTGTAGTTGGAGCTGAAACCTGTCGTGTTGGAAATATGAGGAATTCTTTGCCACCGTGTTTTTTCTACATTGCAGCCTTTCAAGAAAATGCTTGTGAAGATTGGCAGGAGAAATGCTTCAGCATAATTAGGGCTTGTCAGGAAGCATCTGTTCAGGGGACATTGTACAGCTGGTTAATTTTTCTTTAGCATGTCAGTAATTAGTTCCTCTGGATTGTAATATAAGAAAGCATAACCGATCCATTGACTGAGAAATTGTGATTATATAAATATAGTAGCATGCAAAATAATTTAGTGATGTTTAACATTTTAAATTTCCAGGCTTACGACATACCAAGAATTTTTATTCAGTAACTACATGGGAAAAGAAATTAAGGATGCACTAATATAGGTACTGTGGGCCAAGGCCTATATCTGATATTTTTCATGTACGTATCTGCTGCAAGCGACGTGAATACAAAAACATTTATGAAATATAGAGACCTGCTTGGATTAACATTACAGATAAATATACTGTTTTTTCCTATCAGGTTACAAATGCAAATATAAACATCTGCCCAATGCAGATATTTTTAAAGTTATCTGTTTGTATCACCGTGATTCTGATATTACTGTGCATCCTCAATATAAATGTACTAATGCAGATTTATTTTCTTGGGTTGGTTTCCAGGACAGAAAATCTCCATTCAGAATGTCGTGTAGTCAAGTGTTAGACTTAATCCATCTTAAACAGACCCCTTATTGTTATACGAGTGAGGAATCCTGGATCCGACAGCAACTCCTGGCCATTTAAGGGGCTAATGGTTTGAATTAAGTTGCTGATGCCTATTAAATGATATGTTGGTTAAAAAGGGCTCAAATCCTGCATTATTCTTTTTTTCTTTCCTAAGGTCCATGTTTAATGTTTGTGTAGCTTTATAAACCAAGTCAGTTGTAATTTGTTTTTACATAACTATTTTCCAACTTTTCCATCTTTTGTTACTGTACATTTAAGACTGATATGTTAATGTGTTCTGTTTTGATAAACTGCCCTGTATTGTGGGTAAAAACAATAATAATAATAAGCTTTATTTATATAGCACTTTTTCAAACAAAGTGTGAATGTAAATGCAAACAGTAAAAAGAGTAAAAACAAAAAAATGAAATGGAAACATTTTAAAAATGCAAGTGGAAGCGGTAAAATGAATAAAATGTTAATTAAAAGCTAATCTAAACAAGTGGGTATTAACCTTCCTTTTAAATATGCCAGAATCTTCCAGAGCACTCAGGTCATTAGGAAGGGAGTTACAAAGGTTAGGGCTATAATGGAAGAAGGCCACTTTACCACTTTTGTGCCAAATGGCCAGTACAGCCAGCATGTTCCCGTAGGCTCATCTGAGGGCTCTTGAGGGGACTTACCTAATAACCATGTCACCAAGGTATTGTGGAGCGTGACCATGGAGACATTTAAAAATCAGTAAAAGAATCTTAAAATCGAGGACAGGTCAGATATGATCCCACCTTTTTGTGCATGTCAGGATTCTAGCTGCAGTGGTTTATAACCCTCTGCAAGCTGGAAGTAGAGCTCTTGGGTAGATCAGAGAGAAAAGCGTTGCAGACACAAAAGCATGTATAAGTTTCTCACTATCGGCCAGTGAGATCATTTACACACCCTGGAAATATTTCTAAGATGAAACAGTGCTGTTTTGCAGAGATGGCTAATATGGGTCTTAAAGCTAAGATCACTGTCGAAAGTGACACCCAGGTTTTTGACTGAGCTTTTAGTTTTCAAAGACGGGGCTTTTAGGATAAGGTGATAAAAATTCAGTTTTCTGTTAAATGATTCCTTTAAGTAAACTTTGTAACCAGCATAGACTGCGTGTAATTAACAAGGACAGATTTGTAATAAACAGATAAAATGTAATTTAGTAAATGCTGAAAAAGTTGCTGGAACTTGTGTAAATACGATCTGTCGCTAGTGCTCTGATACACGCTGGTATTTTGAGCTTGGATAAAGGATTTATGTTTGTTTCTGGAACCATATCATTTTCCTGAAAGTTGGACTTGCATTGCCGTTGTGCCTTAAAACATGCAGCTATAAACTAGCCAGAGATTATGTTGTTAGTCTACACTGATGTTGAAATGTTGTTGGTAGTCGTTCATCATGTTGAAGTGTGTAGTGTGAGTGTTATTAAAAAAAGTGCTGTGCAACAACTTCTGGTTCATATTTGGGGCTTTCCTCTGATTTCTCATTGCTCCAGTTGAGGAAATCCAAACGGCAGGAATGTTTACTGTGCTGCTGTCAGGCCTAAATGGTTTAAATATTTGTTATTCTGTTTTTGTATTTTCCTGTGAGCAGTTTTTGCAGATATTAGTCTGCTGCACTGCAGGAAATAAACCAGCACAAATCTTTGTTTGTTTTTTCTCTGTCTCAGTATGCGAGTGTTGTGGATAAGGATGGCGAGAGGTTTATGACCCCCAGTGATTTTGTGCAGAAGTATTTGGGCCTCCACACACAGATCCATCACAATCCCAAAACTGTGCAGCTGCTGGCTGGAGTGGCAGATACTACAAAGGATGGGTAAGAAATAAATCGGCAAGACATAAAACACACACATCCTCAAAAACAGTGTAATACATGCACCAGACAGTGAACAGGAAAGTCAGTATAACCCGGATCCCAATATCTCTCCTACTGATGTAACACTTACTTTGATGATTTCTTTTAAAGAGTTTGACGTAGCAAGTAAACAACATTGAAGTCATATTTTCTATAGACAAGTAACTGTATAAAAACAGACAATTTTAAAGTCAGTGGGCCAGATTCATAAAACTCAAATATAGTACGGTAAATAAGAGATATTCATAAAGTCACAGTGTCGATGATTGGCACTGCTGTTAAACTGTGTGATATTTTTCACCCGTGTCCTAGGTAAGAACCAATCAAAATCCGCAGGTAGATGAGGTCATACATATTAAAGACCTACTGCAAGTGAAGGTCCAGTTGGCTGCAAGAATAAATATGGAAAATGAAAACAAAGAAAACCAAAATTCTCAGAAGGAGAGCTAAGAATTTTACAGGGATGAAGTGCTAACAAATAATAGTAAATTGTTTGGTAAAGATGCTTTTAATCAAGAGACAAAGTTCTTCAGCAGAAAATTAAAAAAAGAGACGTTTTATATTTAAACAGCACTGAAAGCCAGTGGTCGGAAAAATACATTAATGTTGGAATAAATTAGTTTGTTTAACCATTTTCAGACCTTTGCTTGACACCCCCACGTTAGTTTTAGTTATCATCCAGTTCCCGGTTTGGCTATGTAATGACATGTGTGTGTATGTATGTGTGTGTATGTATGTGTGTGTGTGTGTGTGTGTGTATGTTTGTATAAGATGGAGAGATCCATGTTGCTGTTACTTCATGTTGGATTGTTTCTTGCAGGGTTGCGGCACTGGGTGTATCAGTGAGAGGTTAAGTGTGGAAGTAATGAATCCTGAGCTCCTTTACCTCTACTTAGAACTTTAAACTTGTAATTTAGCCTAAATCTGCAAATCTGCCAAAACTACTCCTCAATATTATCAAAAAAAACTTTTACATCCAAAGCACTCTTTCTGGAGGCATAACTGCGATGAGATGCATGAAGTAATTAAGGATAACATGCTGCATGTAAAATTCTGTATAAAATGTACTAAAACATATTTCAAACGTGAATGTAAATTGCAGTATTTGGTTTTATGTACTCTGCATTATTGATGTTATACTTATATATATATTTTAATAATTGCATATTAATTTTTTTTTTGTCTGTTGCAGCAAATGTGTGTTGGTATTCACAGCAGTGTCTGTTTAATGTGCGCGCATGTCTCTCTCTCCCCAGGCTGATTTCGTTCCAGGAGTTTTTGGCCTTTGAGTCAGTCCTGTGTGTGCCAGACGCACTCTTCATTGTGGCCTTTCAGCTCTTTGATAAAACTGGAACTGGAGACATTTCCTTTGGTGAGTGTGTGTCTGTGTATGTATAGGAGTGCAAGAGAGAGAAATACGGCAAACTTGTTTAGAGGTTGAGGAGATGTGCATAAACAGCGCAATATTCCAATTTTGTTTAGTCTTAACATGGATGGTAAAACAAATAAAAAATAAATAAAATAAATAAAAGCAAGCACAAAAAAATAAGCAGACACAGAAATGTGATTTATATATCAGAAGTAGAATTTTTAATTACTGTTCACTGAACAAAAAGCCAAAACGTTGGGGTGCATAATTATAGTTAACATTGCACTAGTAAATAAGATGTTTAGCACTGGTGTGAGGATATATATATATATATATATATATATATATGTATATATATATACGGTCCAATGCAAAAGTTTTAAGCATCTTTAAATTGTTTAGATCTAATTATTTGGGCAATAAGGCAATAAATGTCCTGTGAAAATTGTTAAGAACATGAGAAACAAGAATTTCTTGTTTTTAAAAAAATAAACAAAAAAACAAAGAGTACTTGTTAGCTTGTGAGCTGGTTGGAAGAACAGTGGTTTGGTTCCAAATTTCTCGGTGACGCTCCCAGACGTCACTAGATTTGCTTAAATCTATCTCAGCACGCTTCATTTAACTTCATGAAGCATTTGTTAGCCAAACTAGGCTTTGGCTCCTAACAACAGTTAATACGGGCTTGAAAATGAGACGAGGTTTGGAAACTTTTTTGCTATAAAAAAAAAAGTTTTTTGGATGCTGCTTGTGTGTAAAGTGCTGTGTGTATATGTATGTTTGCAGAAAACGTGCGTGATATTTTCAGTCAGACGACGGTCCATCATCACATCCCTTTTAACTGGGACTGCGAGTTTATTCGTCTTCATTTTGGCCATGACCGAACCAAACATCTCAGCTACCTGGAGTTCACCCAGTTTCTACAGGTACACATGCAATTACGTGCTGTAATTTTTTTTTTACACATTTAAGAAATTTTTAGAATAACCTAGACTCTTCCGTGTTCTGTATTTGTCTAATGTAGAATTAATCTGAAGTCAGAATCTTAACAAGCAGAAAAATAAAGCTGTCAGTCAACTCATTGCTACTGATTTGAAGGAAATTTGCGGTCACTCCTCTGTTCCTCTGATGTTCCGTAGGAGCTGCAGTTGGAACATGCCCGGCAGGCCTTTGCACAGAAGGACAAAGCCAAGACTGGAGTGATCTCAGCCATGGACTTCAGTGACATCATGTCCACCATCAGGCACCACATGCTGACTACATTTGTTGAAGAAAATCTGGTCTCAGTAAGTGTCAGGGTGTCTCTGTGCTTGTGTTCCTATATGTCTAAGTGCCTGTGAATGTGCTGTTAAGGCAAAGTTAGAGGTACAGTTAAACCCGAAATTATTCATATATTCATTTATATATATATATATATATATATATATATATATATATATATATATATATATATAAGGGGTGGGATTCTCTAGGCACCTCACAGTTCGATTCGATTACAATTCAGAGGGCTGCGATTATAAAACGATTATCGATGCATCTCGATGTATCTTTTTTTTCTATATAGCATTTATATTTTCTCACTGTGTGAGCTCAAGTTTCAAGTTTATTTGTCATTTGCACAACATGTCAGGACATTTATGCATTGAAATGCTTGTGGTGAAGCTCAGATAATCAATCTACAGAAAGTAAATAAGTAAAAAGAAAAATACAAGAAAAACCAACTGAAATATATTAAATATACACAGAATATATACAGAATGTAGAGACAATATACATTTTAAAGTGACTAAGTAACTCGGTGTTGTTGTTATTTAAAAGGACTTGGTACTTTTAAAGCAAAGTATTTGTAATGATCCATAATGAATTTACTTCCAATATCTTTTATAATAAAACAAATGGAAGTGATGAGGCCAGTGAACTAGAAGACCCTCATTCACTGCTCTTGTTTGGAGCACGAGAAGCTGCACAGTTACGGTGAAATTAGATTCTGTGGCAGTGGGTGTCCACGCAGCACGTTACAGCTATTCCACCCATTTCTTTAGTGATTTTATAACCCTCGGTTTTGGTCTTGTTGTAGAGAGTGGGGTGAGGGGGATTGCTGTGTCAGTAAAGTATCTTTGAGACGGGACGTGTGCAGCATAGTGCGAAAGCCCTGTTTCGCAACGACTGAGAACCGGCGTGCAGACTGCAGGTCACATAGCAGTGATGCGTTATTCGCATTTATAAGCAGTGCAGTTGGTTTCATGGTACGTTAAATCTGCAGAGAGACGAGAGACTGTCTGAGAATGATCCACCACCCAAATAGTACCTGCTCAATGAGGGTCCATGGGGGTCCTGACCACTGAAGAACAGGGTAAAAGGGGGCTAAAAATAGTATGCAGAGAAACAGATGGACTACAGTCTGTAACTGTAGAACTACAAAGTGCACCTATATAGTAAGTGGAGCTGATAAAATGGACAATGAGCGTAGAAACAAGCTGGTGGTCATAATGTTATGCCTGATCTGTGTGTGTATAAAATATATATATATATATATATATATATATATATATATATATATATGTATATGTATGTATGTATGTATGTATGTGTATATATATGTATGTGTGTATATATATATATATATATATATATATATATATATATGTATGTGTGTATATATATATATATATATATATATATATATATATATATATATATATATATATGTATTTTTCTTCTTTCTTTTTTTACGTTTTTATCAAAATGCCATCTCCAAAGTTTTCATACCCTTTGAAATTGTTGCAAAGGTTTTGAGAATCTGCAAACTTCTGTACCATTCCAAATGGTCATGGTAATTTCTGTCATGTTCTAGAGCATTTTAATCATCTATAAATAACAGCTGATTCAGTAGTTCTTCAGTCAGTTACTTGTGTATTGCAAGTCATGGCTTAAACTGAAGAGCTTAGTGAGGACCTCCTTTTGTGCATTGTGGCAGCTCACAACACAGGGAAAGGCTATAAAGCAATTTCAAAGTTTTTTCAAGTGCCAGTGGCCAGAGTGCAAAGAGTTCCATACTGTGAAAAATCTGTGTTGTAGGAACCCAAAAGTGACCCTTCCGCTGGCAAGAATGGTAGTGCAAGAGGCCAAAAAAGAATCCAAAGATCATCAGACAGCCTGCAGAAAAACTTGGCCTTGGGCAGCACTGGACTTTGCAGCAAGACAATGATCTGAAACATACAGCCAAAGTGGCCAAGAAATTGTTAACAGAAAACAATATCAACATTTTGGAATAGCCCAGCCCAGCCCAGCCCAAGGCCTGGAGATTGTTGCAAAAAGGATTGGTCCAAAATCCCAGTGGAGACGTGCAAAAAGCTTGTTAGTAATTATGAGAACTGTTTCATTGCTGTAATGGCAAATAAAGGCTTTGCCTTTGATTTCTTAGTGAAGGTAGGAATCGTTTTGGATGTGACATTTTTTTGTAAAAATGTGAAAAACAAACAGAAGTTATTATTTTCCTTTAAATCTCTACCACAGTGTCTTAGGGTCTGTCATTTCCAGCCAGAAGAAACCTACTAAAAAAAAAAAAATCACTGTAAATCAAAATTTGGTATGGGTATGAATAATTTTGGGCTTAAATGTTCACAGTAATGTAGTTTATGTATTTTTTTTTTTTGTTATTCAGGGACTTCTATATAGCTTAAAGACGGATTGTCTAAACTTCACATTAACAGTGGTCTGCCTGTAGATGAAATACTGTAGGTCTCATTTTTCACCACATACAACATCAGCAGTTGTGTAATTACTTTTCCCTGTTTCCCTGCATTTTAACAAATTTTGACATTCGAGGACCCATAAAAGTTAAGGAAAATCACAAATAAGGAGAAAACAAGGGGAAAAATGGATTTCGGCCCACATTATAGTTTGTTATTATAGGTTTACTTTTTTTTAGTCGGCAGTACTGTTAGTAAACGAGTTAACTCTTCAGAGGAGCTAACAGACGAACACAGCTAACAGTACAACGTTCTGTGCTGATGAGGACTGTTGTCGTCTGACAGGTGGACAATGTAACATTCACTGTTTCTCTATTTCTGGACCAACCTAACATCAGCTAGAGTAGGTAGCCCGATTAGTAATCAAGCTACAGTAGAGCCTGTCACGTCCTTAACAACGTGTCCTTGGCAATGTGCTGATGTTATGGCACTCCATTTCATAGTCACTAAGTGGAATATCTGTAATTAGTGGCTAATACAAGTGAACTCACCAGATTTAACTGTACTGTTGAAAGAAAAAAAATGTTTTACTGAATTGTTTGTTGTATAATTTTAAAAGGAAAATAAAACAAAAAAATGCCCAAAATAATGATTTTAGGATTCAGAGACTGGGATCTCGAATGGTTAAACAAGTACCCATACACATCCCTAATAATTATCACAATACATTTAAATTATAAATTTCAGTCAAGTTATCGTTGTCTGTATGTGCATGTGCTACCTGTAAGAGCTGACTGCAGCTTTGTAAATATGACTGGCACAGCGCGAGCACCGTGAACTCTGCAAGCTTCTAATTCTGCCAATATGACACAATTGTCTAAAACTCCCTTTACTGAAGAAAAGGCCCCATCTTCACTCAAACATGCCCAGTTAGAAGTCCAGTTATTCCGGTGGGGGTTTTATCTTGTCTTCCCGTTGGTAGTAAAGTAATGAGTAGTCGGATTCGTTTTTCCAGGAAGTAGTAAGTAATCCTATTACAGTTTGAGAAAAATAATTAGAAATTTATAATGTTTATCTTAATCTTTTAATTTCTCCACCACTGCAAGCTTGTTGTATTTCATGCATTTTGAAGCTGAACACTGAAAGCAGTGGAACTTGAAAAATACCTGGCTGACTTTACTGTTCCATTTTAGCTAGCATCAGAGTCTCTATTGCGCTAAAAGTTATTTGTCTAAATATTAAGTGAAACATTTGATATGAAAAATGTTTAACCGTTATAATAAATCTTAGAGACAGAATCGGAATCAAAACTAGACAAGTCATTCCTGGTATAACCAAATCACTTCTCACTGTTTTTAAAATTAATTCACGATACCCATCTAGTTATGAGTGACTCTTAGGCAGGTAAATACAGCAGGTAAAAGTGGCCCAAATTTTTTTGTTTGGTTGTTTACATTATCTTTTAAATGTGATCTGTATGTGACAATCTGAACAGATCAGCTCCTAAACTGAGCCGCATGCGCCAAAGAACAATGTGTCACGCTGCTTCACAGCTCATCCAGAGGTAAACAATCACGACCGCCAACAAACGCCAGTCGCTCCCGGAGGATCAGCTTCATCTTCACCAGCATCACAGGAGCCATCATGACGTTCCGATGGCTGACAGCTGGGCTCATCACCCAGAATGTGTATGAGCTCGCCGTAAGAAGGGCGCGGTCACTTCTTTGGTTCTTTAAACTTTTCTTTCAGACTTTTAACTGTTCTTTGACGCCGAAGCTTCATAGCTGCAGTGCAGCGTTGCCCGAGTGGCCGACCCAGGCAGCCATGTACAGCGTAACAAACACACGCAGACTGAGCCGCATTGCTGCATGTCGGATATGTATCGGACTTTAGTACCACACATAAGTGTCTCAATTCGGAATTGAAAATGTCATTCAGTGCTTTTTCTTGCTGACACATCTGTGTCACATATGAAAAAAAGATCTGATTTGGGCCTCTTTTACCTGCTGTGTAAACGTAACCTAACAGACGTGTGTTTCCTCCTGCAGGTAGCCGGGGGTGGAACCTCTCACATGGTGAGCTTCTCCTACTTCAATGCCTTCAATTCACTCCTCAATAACATGGAGCTCATCCGCAAAATCTACAGCACACTTGCCGGGACCCGCAAAGACACACTCGTCACTAAAGGTACAGAAACGGGTATCTGTGCTCCAAATCTGAAATGGCTCTCTACTTTCTACATAGTGCACTACACATACTACCAGCTGAGGCTTTTACAACCTTTATCTTGTTTCATGTATTCAGCTCTTTGGAGTTCATCCATTTACTTTCATCAGAAGGTTTTACAAGTTTGCCATTTGATTTCTAAAGCCTACAAGGCCACATGCTCCAAAGAACAAAACTGTTACTGTACTCACTTACTACACAGTACAGTGCAGTATATCATCTCTTGTTTTCTGGAAAGTAAAGCTCTATTTAAGCAAGATGGCTAATAAGCCAGTTTATGCAAATAAAAGTCAAAAAGCCATAAAATACACAAAATGACATCGTAAATCAGAATTATTTAGATAACAATCAGTAGTCAACAGAAAATTCGAGAATGTGACAGGCCTAAACATACAGTAATTTAAACAATGTCGTACATTTTTCAGTGTGAATTTTGTGTAGTATACTAGTGTGTGGTTGTTAGGAATCTCTGTTCTCTCCATTTATGCTGCTTCATATGGATTGTCAGTTCTTTTTCTTAACCATTTTAAGGTTGACTGACCTCATAACTACTGATGATTGTTTTTGGAAGATTGCATTGATGTCCCAGTTAGAGATGGAGCTGCATTGGTGTGAACTGGGCTGTAACAGGGCAAGACTCTCTAACCATGTGTTATATATTTTGCCCTCCTCTCTGTTGGTTTTTCTCTCTATATCTCTCTGTCCATCTGCCTTTCTCGGTCTGTCTGTAGAAGAGTTTGTTCATGCTGCTAATAAGTTTGGTCAGATCACTCCCATGGAGATTGATATTCTCTATCAGCTCTCAGGCCTCCACTCTCAAACCGGGTAAGTCCCTCTAATCATCTTTACCAGTTTCTTGTTAAAAACATAAAATGGGTGTAAAGAACACACCTCAAAGTGAAGTTTTAACAAATCAAAACAACTAAATAGTAGTACTTTTATCTGTCTCTATAAAGCCGTGGATACACAACATGACTTCTAAAGCCCTTAGCATGGCATCTCGCGCTAAACGACTGGTTCCTGCAGATTTAATTGAGCAAGTGAAAGATTGGCGATCACACGCTGCACAACTTTTGTTGAGGTGTTGCTGAACCGAACCAAACCTGCTTGAACACATTCTTCCGTTACTAGGAGAAGCAATTAAACAAATGTGGATCAGCTTTCTGCTGTAGCTGTTTGTGCTGACACAGTAAAGAAGCAACAGCGAAACATACTTAAGTGAGGGTCATGAATGTAAAAATCTGATTTGTGTGGTAGTTTTTAGGGGTTTTGATGCATGTGCACTGAATTTTGTTCAAGCCTTAATCTCAGTTTATTAAAAAGCTTCACATGTTCACCATTTTCTTTATTTATATTCTGTATTTTCTTCTTTCATTGCCTTTTGGAGGATTATGAGTCAGGCCAAAACATCAGATGTGATTTGTGTACTCTGGCTTCTCTGAAATGTGACTGCGAGTAAAAAAAATCTGCATCTGTGCCCCTCATACACTACCAGATTTTTCTCTCCCAGTCAGCTACACGGCTGCTCCAAAAGCTATAGACTAGAGCCAACTGGCACAGACTCAGCCGGGCTCAGAATTGGGGCTAAAATCAGGGTAAAGGTTGTGTAGTGTCACGCTTAATGCACTGTTCTTATTGTAGATCTGCAGATCAACACATCTGCAGTAGCTAGTGATAAAATTAGTATTAGTTAACTGTTAAAAAAGGGATAAAACAGTATATTATTTGTAGTGCTTCCTAGGAAAAGGTGGAACAATGACAAGCATAGAAACAGAATTGTGGGATTTTTACAGGCATCTCTTTAATAGAATTCTATTTATGTTTTTTTCCTTCCTTCCTGTGTTTTGCAGGAGGTTGAACCTGGCAGATATTGAAAGGATAGCTCCTCTGGAGGAGGGTGCACTGCCCTATCATCTGGCAGAAGTACAGAGACAGGTAGGTGGAAGAAGGGGCTGTCTGTGTGTCCAAACACTTCAAGATCTGGTCTTGTGGCACACAAAAATGAATAATTATACCATGTCAAGTTTGTAGGCAGCTGCAGTTTCATGCGGTTATCTGAGATGACCTGCTTGGCTTCATCATCCTCTGTTAATTTGTAGCCGATTATCACATCTCGCCAAATAAAAAAAGATCCAGAGACATAAAAGGTCTCTCTGTTTTTCTCTCTTTCTCATAGATGCATGGCGATGCTTCTCGTCCGGTGTGGCTGCAGGCTGCTGAGTCAGCATATCGCTTCACCCTAGGCTCCATTGCTGGAGGTGAGACATAATACACAGACCAGAGCATTTAGTGCACTAATAATAAACCAGAATTTTCCAACTCCAGCCCTGCACGTGCGTCACATCTTCAGCTAACAAAGTATGAATCAAAAGTGTGCTTCTGGGATGGGCAGTTTGGCAAAAATGTAGTGTAATATCACTTGACTCTTGAAGACCTTCTCATGATACATGGTATGCGTCTCAATATTTTTTGAGGTTAGTGAACAAGTTGTAATGGACAAAATGCCACAGCAAAACAGTAGTGCCACCTTAAAAAAGAAAAGCTGAAAAACAGAAATACTATCAGTATAATGATTTTTTATTCATTTCCTGTATTACTCGGCACTAAATCATTTTAATTTTTTATGTATATAAATATATATATATATATATATATATATGTGTGTGTATGTGTGTGTGTACCGATATGGAAGTTGCCGGCCGATGCCGATTCCACCTGGATTCCCGTGACAAAGCAACATTTTAATAATATTTCCATCATTTTAAGCAACCATCTCCAGATACCAATGATTCTGATATCATGTATCGCTTTGCTAGAGCAGGAAAACACAGACCTTGCAGTGCAGATGGACCAAAGGACGGAACCTGGACTAAACATTCTTATAATGTCAGTTATGCCATGCAGCCTAAGACATTAATCAGAGCAACTTGGCTTGTCATTTTGAGGTGTAGTCTGCGTGTAACAAGTGGGTGAATATAGTGTCAGGAGTTTAGCCTCCCACAGCTTCAGTTTCAGCCTTTAAAGCACTTTTAAATACTCTCATAGGACAAGTTTCTACCTTACTGTAGATCAGTGCTTTTATTCTGGTCAAAATAGATCAATATATGTGTTTTATTGAATGTAAACCTGTTTGAACTTTTGTGTGTTTGCGTGTGTTTGTAGCTACGGGTGCCACAGCGGTGTACCCTATCGACTTGGTGAAAACTAGAATGCAGAACCAGCGCTCCACTGGCTCGTTTGTAGGCGAGCTCATGTACAAGAACAGCTTCGACTGTGCCAAGAAAGTCCTCCGGTACGAGGGTTTCTTTGGCTTCTACAGAGGTAAATTGCTGCATCCCTGTAATATTATAGAAATTAAAATTCTATAAATGCTTTAAGGTGGAAGTGCTCAATCCAGCACATTTCAGCCACCCTTTAATGCCCTTGCTCACTCCCCCTGTTCCTAGTGTTGTCACAGTAGTTAAATTTTAGCTGATGCTTGTCTTTTTTAAATAATTTAATTTCATTGTCTTTTGTGTTCATTGTGTGCAACTGTTAAAGAAAGACCTAAAGTGGTCAAATTTACTGAAAAGTATTGTGACCTGATGCATTTTCCTTTTCAAAGTGGGGAAAAAAACTGAGGACAGAGCCATTTTTAATCAATAGTTGTAAACAATTGCAATAATATTTGTAAAAAAATATGCAAGTGCTTGATATTTCAAAACCGTAACATTTGGTTTGCAAACTACTCCATCTGTTGTAAATGACAGCTGATATAACTTCATGTTGCTCTGCTGGCTCGCTAGTTAGCAAGCTAAAGGCTACATGACTTAAACAACAAAAAAAGGCACTACACCACGGTCCCAAACCAGAGATTATAGTCAGACAATTCAGTTATTCATAAATATTATGTACGTTATGTTAAAGCTTTTCAAAGAAATGTTTTGCCTTACATTTGCTTGGCTAGCTAATTAGCTCACTGAGGCTAGCCTAGCTGAGGGTGAGTGCATTCCAGTAGAAAAATCCACTCACTGCCCCCTCCTCTCCTTCTGCCGCGAGTGCACACTTGTGTAATGTAGGTGTGACGCACATCCGAATGGTGAGTTGGTTAAGGCATGTTAAGAATCGCATTGAAGATGGTCCCTCTTTCACTTCTACGCCAGATTCAAACACACCTGTGGCAGGTAAAAAGGAAGCAGTAAAATCTTAATTATCTGTCTCAGGTGTGTTTGCAACTGGATAAGAACAGAAACGTGAACTGGACGAGAAATCCTGAGGACCGAGAAGAAACCTTGAAGACTTACCCTGAATTTTACATTTTTTACCCCACATGTAGTCGATAAGCCAAGACAGGCTTGATATTTAAGTTTTCCTTCTTTGGCTTTGCACTGGAGCTGCAAGGCTAATGTAGTAAACAGACAGATAAATGATCTTCTGAATGAATCTAATGTAACTCACCACTTAACACTGCAAACTGAACGCAAGAATTCATCACACGCTTTCTTTAAACTGCAGTTGTTCGACAATCTCAAACGCCTTGAAGGAAAGATTTTCTGCAGTCTGAACTGTATAAAGCAACAAAGAAATGTTTTTTCAGCTTTTTCCAATTGAAAAAATTCCAGTTCCAATTCAAGCCACATTTGTAGGTGGTTTCGAATCTGAGTCAGATTTTTGGATGTGCGGCTCAGTTTGACTTGTTTGATTTGGGCACAGCGGTTCACTGCATTAGAAAGTGCAACAAGAAAGTCAGTGTTGCATATTCATCTCATATAGTTTAAACTCAGAGAGCAAAGCTTTTATCAGACGTTTAGGTAACACATTTTTACTTGGCATGTTGGAGTTTACAGTGATGGCTTCGTTAAAAGATTTGAACTTAAAGCCTGTTCTGAATATCACTGCTTCAGCCTAAAGCTTGATAGTAGCACGTAATTATGCACTTATTATGGTATTTCTGATGCTTTAGCATTTTGCATTAAACTGACAATAGTATGTAACAGTTTAAAAATAGTAGCCATCTTGAAGACTAAATTTTGTCTGTACCTTTGTTTATTTTCATAGATAACAGTATGTCATAACATTTGTAGATTAAGCTCATTTTACTCAACAGTTGTTGATCCAAAGTGCTGCACAGCAATAAAAAACACACAAGAATGTAATTAAAACACGAAAGGACAGTTGCAACAAATATAACCTGGGGTGAAAATATAGTCACAATAGAGAAACATGATACCACAAGCACATAAAACAATAAAACGTGAACAGCGGCTTCCCAACACAAACACAGGTGCCATCTTGCTCCCTGCGTAGGCTGAATGACTACATTTGGGGTAAAAAAAAAAAGAAAGTTGGGTAAACTAGATTTTTTTTTTTCCCCTCCTCCTCCACCAGACTCTTGCTTTGTGTCATCTTGTTTTGTATGTTTCCATTAGGCCTTGTGCCCCAGCTCCTTGGTGTGGCTCCAGAGAAAGCCATTAAACTCACTGTAAGTCGGCCTTAACCACATGAGCCCTGATGATTCATTAACTTCTCTGAATGGAGTTTGGGAATTTAAGCTTGTATGTCTTTTTCCTGTAGGTGAACGATTTTGTGCGAGACAAATGGTCCGAAAAAGACGGCTCCATCCCTCTGGCAGCGGAAATCCTTGCGGGTGGATGTGTGAGTACTGCAGTGTGAGGTGGAGCTCACGCAGGGATGACGTGGTGTACATGCAGTGCTTTAAAAAATTCAGTAGTTGAGTTTTGCTGTTTTGCAATGTTTGTATGTGCAGCTCTGGGCCTGGCAATACAGTGGTATGTAGGGTATCCGGTGCTTTACCAACATTTTTGCTGAGACTGATTTGTTGATTTATATAGCAAGTTGAACTGGTTCATAAACACTAAAACATCATGGTGAGAAAGAAAAAGGAAAGAAGCATGTAAAATGGAGCAAAAGCAACAAAAATGCAAAATATTCTAGGTATCATTGCCCATCAACCCATAATTTTTCTGCTTTTTTGCCTGAGTTTAAAAAATCTGACAATTGAGAACTGACATTTACACTATATGGCTAAAGTCAAAGTCAAATCAAAGTTTATTAATGTAGCGCATTTTACATTTAACAGGTGATGTCACAAAGCAGCTTTACAGAAAAATCCGGGTCCAAGCCAAAATATACTGTAACGGCCTCCACTCTTCTGGGAAGGCTTTCCACAAGATTTTGGAGTATATGTCTGTGGGAATTTATGCCCATTTAGTCAGTAGAGCATTTGTGAGGTCAAGCAGTGACCCTAACCCAACTCCTGTAAAACAGCCCCAGACCATTATCCCTCCTCCACCAAACTTTACTATGGACACATCCTGGTAGGTAGCGTTTTTCTGGCATTCGCCAAACCATCCATCAGACGGCCAGATAGTGAAGCATGTTTCATCACTTCAGAGAACACATGTCCAGTGCTTCCAGTCCTGTGGCATTGCTCTTTACGCCACTCCAGCTGACGCTTGGCATTGTGGATCGTGATCTTAGGCTTGTGGCTGTGAAGCTTGGCTGTGGAAACCCATTTCATGAAGCTCCTGACTCACAGTTCTTGTGATGTTGCTTCCAGAGGCAGGTTAGGATACTGTAGTGAGTGATGCAGCAGAGGAAAAGCAATTTTCACATGCTAAGCTAGGAGTGGGGAATATGGCCAAAATATTATCACAGCATATTAAGATATTGTCATGATAGCTTTTCTGAGATTTATAAGTTAGTACGGACAAAATGGAGCCTTTAGTGCCACATAAAAAAAACAAACTTCATAGTACTGAATCCAGTTAAACGAGTAATTATGATCTCTTTGTAAGGAATCATGCAGTTGGTCAGTGTTTTAAGTGTTGATAATATCAACAACATTCTCAGAAATGCATATTGTGACATAATTTATCACAACGAAAAAAAATATTAAGTTGATATTAGTTTAGCTTCTTAAAATCAGTCATGAGAGTTCTGCTTAGTTAAAGCAAATTTTTTAAGCAAAAAACAAAAAATAATCTTTAAAAGGGGCAACTTGCCCCACTACTCGGGCACGATGCCTCCCTTCCTGTAGTAAGACGTCTTGGGTCAGTCTTGGTTTTACAGAATGAATAATGTTTGAATGAATTTGCTGAATGAGTTAAAAGACCAAATTGATCGATATGGCAAAATGATATCTTGATACATAGGCAATACACAATATGTATCACAGTATTTTGTTTTTCTAAGGCTTGATGAATTGGAACAGAAAAGTTCCAGTAGTGACACAAAAAAATTAAGTGTGTGTGTGTATATATATATATATATATATATATATATATGTATATATATATATATGAATGTGTGGGATTTTTGTTCACAAGATATTTTGCTATTGTTATTGTTGCTATTGTTGTGCATTTCTTTTGTGTCTCTTCCATTGCTCGTGTAAATCTTTAACCTCGCAATGATTAAGATTCTTCAGGAAACCAGTTTAACAATGATTGGATTTTATTAATTTTGGTGTAATTCAGAATTATTTTATAGTACACAAAAACATAGTAGTGGAATATAGATATAAACACTAAGATAAAATACACCAAGCTATTATAATAATATTGTACATATTAAGTATTATTAAATGTTATTTTTGTAGCTGATTTTTATGTTCACTGCATGTGTGTTGCCACTTTTAGATTGTAGTATTGAGGATGTTACTTTCACATTGATGTGTTTTTCAGTGTATTTATAACTCTTTCTGTAGAGACATTCTAAACTTATATTGTGTTAACATGTCAATTTTAGGCTGGTGGCTCTCAGGTGATTTTCACCAATCCTCTGGAGATCGTGAAGATCCGTCTGCAGGTTGCTGGGGAGATCACCACAGGGCCCAGAGTGAGCGCGTTAAGTGTCGTCCGTGACCTCGGCTTCTTTGGCCTCTACAAGGTACGCTAGCCATGCGAAGTAATGATTATTTCTATTGTCGATTTTTCTCTCAACTATAATTCGAGCAATCGACTAATCTAACTCCTCTGCTTTCTTCAGTTCCTCTCACTTTGCCACCCCAGTCATTCTGTGTTCCATCTGTGCGACTAGTAGTTTCTTCTTTTGTGGTCTAATGAAACAGTAGAAGCCATATTGGCCCCTAAACTTCTGACTACAATCTTTTAGAATCACTGCGTTGATTATATGAACATAATGTTGTTTTTAGTAAGTGATAAATAGACAAGCAATGCATTCGTGTTTTCATAATCAGTGTTATCAATTATTAATCCACGTTATCAAGTAAAAATTGTACCACTATGTGCATGTATGGATATATGTCCCGTTAGTGATGTGAGTGTGTGTTTGTGCAGGGTGCTAAAGCCTGTTTCCTGCGTGATATCCCCTTCTCTGCCATCTATTTCCCTGTATACGCCCACACTAAATCTTACCTGGCTGATGAAGAAGGCCGACTTGGGGCTCTGCAGCTGCTGACCGCAGGAGCCATTGCAGGTAAAGCTGCCCTGGACATGTCAGCCTTTTTTTCCCCCCTTATCGTGTGTACACATATATATGTGTGTGTGTGTGTGTGTGTGTGTGTGTGTGTGTGTGTGTGTGTGAGTGAGAGATTGTGTATATTTGAATTCAATAATTTAACTGAATGAATCAGTTCAATAATTGAATTCTCCAAGTAATGCCGGACGACTGTTGGATAATTTTGACTTCTTTGAATTTTTGCTTTCCAGGTGTCCCTGCCGCCTCATTGGTTACTCCTGCTGATGTCATCAAAACACGACTGCAGGTAGCGGCACGTGCTGGCCAGACTACATACAGTGGAGTTATTGACTGCTTTTGGAAGATCCTGAGGGAAGAGGGCTTCAGAGCCTTCTGGAAAGGAGCAGGAGGTAAAAACTCACACACTCCCATTAAAATGTGTACAAATTTTCTATTTTTATTTTCTGCTTGCGTAATGTTAATGACACAAATGGACAAAATTCAGACTTATCCTCGTAATTTGAGGGATACATTAAAGAAGCAAACTTCAGTTACAAAACACGTCTTTAATTACGAATAGAACGTTCCAAAAGTGTCCTGAAAAAACTTTTAAGCAGTTGTAAACATGCCTGAATCTCTCTCTTTTATAAATTTTTTTTTATTATTATTATTTATGGAATTTTTTTTTTTTTTTTACTTTTCCAGCTCGAGTCTTCCGCTCCTCTCCACAGTTTGGTGTGACCCTGGTCACTTATGAGCTCCTGCAGAGGTGGTTCTACGTTGACTTCGGAGGGCAGTGAGTGTTAACTTTTTTTATTTATTTTTTTAATGCAGCATTGAAACTCTAGAGTAAAAATAACTAATTGTCTGTTAAGTTGGAACTGATATGAGTAAAATATAACGTTTCAACAAGAATTGTTTTATTTAGTATATCAAAAAAAAAAAGTGCTGTGTTTCTTGTGCTCAGTGCATCATCAGAGCTAATCATGAGGAGCTACAGCTCTGTTTCAGCTGTTATTGGTTTGAGTTAGAGCTTTGAGTGGCTGTGCTGTGTGAGATCTGACCTGTCTTTCTTCTGTCCTTCTAGCCGTCCGTCTGGTTCTGAGCCAACTCCGAAGTCACGGATATCAGAGCTGCCCCCGGTCAGCCCGGAGCATGTGGGGGGATACCGCCTCGCTGCAGCCACCTTCGCCGGCGTGGAGAGCAAGTTCGGACTTCACCTGCCAAAGTTCAAATCCTCTGGGGTCGTGAGCATCCAGCCCAGCAAGGAGGAGGCACCAGCCTCCTAAAAAGCCCCGCCCACTCCTGTCCTGTCATCCAGTGGCTGCATGCCTCCATCATCCAGGCTGTCACTCCATTTTCTCCTGTTTTATTTTTGGTTTGTTTGTTTGTTTGTTTGTTTGTTTGGTGAGGGAGATGTGTGGGATATATTTACCATTTTCAACCACTCATCAGTGCCTGTTCTGTAATAACTGAACATTTACTAATGGATTACTTTCACACTCCAAATGCTGGTGTAAATGCCAGCTGTGCATTTCCTTTTTCATCTGAATGAAAAAATGAAATGACCGTATAAAGTATCCACGAGGCCACTGACCAATCATCTGTTATGTGGCTATAATGAACTTTTTTTTGTTTTGGGAATGTTTTAGCAAGCAAACTCCTGGGGAAAAAGGGTATCCCACAAAATCCAGGGTGAATTCAGTTTGAGTGGGATGCTAGGAGAGTATTCACCAGCTGTCAGCTTTCTTAATGATGCCGTTTTATGAAAGTAATGTCCTAAAATATATCTAGCATGAAATGAACAATTCCGGTTGAAAAGCAATAGTGATCCAACCATTTTATTAATTTATTTCTTTGTTAACATTTTCCTCTGATTATACATGGACACACATTTCTAAGTAATTAATTGAATTGGTTAAAATTAAAGCGACAATCATTTTTTGTAGTCCGTTTGTTGATTGGCTTTCTACTGGTTTTGTGACTGGCCACATTAGAATTAGAATTTCGCCTCCATGAGCCTTTTCCCTTGGACACTGTTACATTCCAGAACTACTGCTGTTGAGAAATGGATCACCTCTCCCCGAATACTACTTTAGCATCACATTTTAATGCCAAGTTCCTAATTTATGACCCTCATAGACGCAAAACAAATGTGTAATGCAATAGAACATAAGGATTTTCGAGCGGTTTGTCCTTTTAACTTTTCATTCAAACGAAGGGACATAAAAATCAGACAGCACAAGCAATGTTTCCTTTCCATTTCCAATAATCAGAGAACATTAAACAAGTATTTTAAGGAAATTATGCTAGTGCAGTCTCATTTTTCCCTCTGTGTTCCTAAATTGCAGTTCAAAAATGTTCCTCCCCAAAAAAACTAAATAGAGACATAATAAATAAAAAAAAATTGAAGAGCATGTGCATCATTTTCTTTTTGTCTTATAGCATAACATGTGGCTATTAAACCAACATTTAAAGCACATGATGCTAGTGCTGTCTGATTGTTTTTTATATTTATTTTTTTTTAATCTAGCCGTCTTTTTATAAGGTCCATTTGCATTAGATTTAGTGATCATGTCTGTTTAGTGCACACTCAATGCCTGCAAATATGTCCTGCGGTCTTCTATCACCTTCAGAGGACTTCGGAAATGGCCAGTAAACGTGTCTCTATACAGTCAGGCAGGCAGCAAAAACACAACGCTGCTCCTCGTGTTCCACTTGACCTGAATCCACCCTGCATGTGTAAATGCTGCATTTAATCTGCCTTTTTCCTTCTCAGTCTTATTTTTCTTCGCTGCCATTAGGAAGTTCCTCCTGTGTTAAAGAAAGCATGCAATAGTGCTCCTCATGCTTTTCTCATCATGCTCTGCGTAGCTTGCACATGCCCTGTACATATTTGTACATCTTTTTTGCACAGAGATGTGGGAGAGAGAGAGAGGCAGTCATAGTCTCTCGCCCTCATTTCTGCCTCATACTGATGGTGTACAGAGGTTTCCAGATTTACTGATCAAAACAAAAGCAAACAAAATATGTATCATGGATAATCTGATGTTTAGAAAATAATTTAAATGCATTTCAGTCTTGTATTTTATGGAAGTAAATCATACGGTTGAATTTTAAACCAAGACTTGGTGTTTTACTCATTTTATTCGTTTATTTGTTTGTCTGTTTCCAATATCAAGTTTTGTTCTCATCATCCACAAGAAACTTCAAACAAGTATTTGAAGCAGAGTTTAGGTGCTGGCGTTTGTTCAGCTTATTAAAATTCCTACTTAAAAAGAGAAGAAAATGCAGCTTAGAAAAATGAAAATACAGACATTAGCAGTGTAGCTTTGGTTCAGAATGGATCTATAGAAAGTATCAACTAGATGAACACAAAAAAGATAAACATGAAATTTGTACATGGATTAGATTTAAAACATGACTGTGTCTATAAGAAATCAAGCTGATACAAAAATCTTCCATATCAGTGAAAGGGTTTAAGTGGCAACATAAGAAGTTCACAATGAGGAATTTTAAGTCTTGGACAAATACACTTCAATCCAAACATGGAATAAAGATCATCAATTATTTTACTTAAATATAGTATTAAACAGTGCTGATGATGTGGTGGGTATTGCTGCTATTGTAGTAAACAAACCTACACATTGAGGAGCTTGTAAGAAATTAGAGCTTGAATAAGCTGCTGAAGACCTTTATGAGGAAAAGTACAGTATGAAGCTTGTTAGTTGTGATTGTGTCTAGTGGATTAATGTGAATTATAGCTCTAGGCGTTTTCCCAACTGTCTGAAAAACAGCCGAGTCAACAGGACCTGACTAACTGTAATGGTCAAAGTTTCTAGCTAAATACATCTACCTTCCCTCTCCATGTCATACACAACATTTATCTGCTTATAAATACTAACATTATGACCTTAAAATACATTTCCCAACTTCCACTTGCTGTTCCACATTACAGGGAAATCCTTTCAGTGAGTTGAAAGAAAACTCTAGATTGTCGCTGAAGAAAACATAAAATCTCTGCAGGAAGCAGCCTGAAGCAGATCTGAAAACTTCTTCTCAGGTGTGGTTATTAAGCTGGGTTGCCAGATCCTCTAATGCAGGCTCAGGCAGTGAGGTGCTGGGTCGCCAGTTCATCTGCATCCTCCTGGTTCTCATTCAGCTTGGTCAGCGTTTGTATGAGGCAGCTCCACTCGTCCTGCTGCCACACATCGATCTGCTGGAGACAGAAATAGACCCCCAAAATAAATAACAAATAACAGCTTAATAACTCAGTCTAGGCATCTTGTTCTCACTTAACTCAAGTTACTTTTATAGAGAGGAACATAAAGTACCCAGGTTAGTCTAAAATGGACATTGACCGACTAAAGAATGAGATCAATTGTACTGATATTAGCCACTAGGTGGCAGTTAAGTGTTTTGCTTCTATGTGCAGCAACACTAAGAATAAAAATATGCCTTTACATTCTGAAATAAGAGTGTATGGACGTTTCAATACATTGTACCAGGAGGCGTTGTAAAAAAAATGAGTCTAGGTGAGAATTCTATCAAACCACCAGAGGAGTTGAAATTGACAGGGAATGTCAATGAAAACTGAAAGGTTTTTAAGCAGAGTTTTGAGCTCTATCTGCTTGCACTCAGACTGGAAGGGAAAGAAGAGCGGTGAAAGATAGTGCTGTTGCTAACAGTGGCAGGTCAAAATGCACTCGACGTGTACAATACTTTTGTCTTCACAGAAGAAGAAAGTGGAAAATTTTCAGCAGTGATAGAAAAATTTGACGAATACTGCATGTCGAGAAAGTATGAGGCCTATGAGAGGTACGTCTTTAGTAACTGTTTGCAAAGACAAGATGAATCAATTGAACACTGTGACTGACCCTAAGACTAAGACTAAAACGTCAGACTTGTAACTTTGGTACATTCTGTGACTCCATGATTAGAGATCAGATTGTGATTGGAGTATGTGACAAAAAAGTGAGAATGCACTTGCTAAAGAAAATAGACCTGACTTTGGAAAAAGCTATTCAGATATGCCAGACATCAGAAAATGCCATGGTTCAGCTAAAGACATTCGAAAATGAAACAAAAAGCAGGAGTAGATGCTGTGCAGAAGGTCACAAAAGTTAAAGGCAAAGAGGAACTCTAGCTGATGATGAGACAAATAATAAAGATGAATGTATTGCATGCATAGATGTGAATGGAACAGAAATTCCATTCAAATTGGACACAGGAGCACAGGTAAACATCTTGCCATCAAAAGACTTGCACAGACTGAAAGTAAGCCTAACCCTAACCCTAAGTCCAAAACATGCAGATGAACTTGAGAACATATAAAGACAAACCAATTCCCAATAGGGCATTTTGGCCCCCAACCACAGATTGGGTGGTGGGGGGGGGTGAGGCCAGAGGTTTGGTTTAGGCCAGAGGTTATGTTTGGGGTTAGGGCTAGTGCTGTACTTAGGCTTAAGATCAGGTTTAGACTCATGGTAGACTTATGCTTGGGCTTGGATTAGGGTTAGGCCAGATGTTTGGTTTAGGCCCTAGGTTATGTTTGTGGCCTTAGGGTCAGGGCCAATGCTATGCTTAGGCTTAAGATCAGGTTTTTGGCTCAAGGTAGACTTATGCTTAGGCTTAGGTTGGGGTTAGGCCAGATGTTTGGTTTAGGCCCTAGGTCATGTTTGGGGCCTTAGGGTTAGGGCCAATGCTATGCTTAGGCTTAAGGCCATGTTTTAGACTCAAGGTGGGCTTATGCCTAGGATTGGGTTAGGGCCAGGCCAGAGGTTTGGTTTAGGCCCTAAGTTATGTTCAGATTTGGATCTTGGCTGTGGTAAAATCCATCGCGGTGAACTCTTGTATTTTTATGTTGTAGAATTGTTCTTCAGAGTACCAGCTTTTATTAGCAAAAAACCCCGTGTCTGTAAATGGCATCGTTTTGGAGTTATTAGCGTTTGAAGATTTGGTTTTGTGACCATTTGCATATTGGGAAGACTCCCAGCATTCCTTGAGAATCTACCATCATCTAGACTTTTGTTCATTTTGGTGTGGTTCCTGGTTTTGTTGGCTTATTTGATATAATGGCTCCCTATGACAGGGAGTCACTCGCACCATTCTCCCCCAAGGGACGAATAGTGGGCTCCAAATTTGGGCTTGTAGTCCAAAGTTATAGTTGGGAGTCCACCCCTGGTTAAGGTGGGGGGCCCCGTTGTTTGGCCCCCAACCACAGATTGGGTGGGGGGGGGAGAGCGTTAGGGTAGAGGTTTGGTTTAGGCCCTAGGTTATCTTTGGGGGTTTTAGAGTTAGGGCTAGTGCTGTACTTAGGCTTAAGATCAGGTTCAGGCCCAAGGTAGACTTATGGTTAGGCTTGGGTTAGGGTTAGGCCAGAGGTTTGGTTTAGGCCCTAGGTTCTGTTTGGGGCCTTAGGGTTAGGGCCAATGCTATGCTTAGGCTTAAGGCCATAAGGTTAGGTTTAGGGCTAAGGTTAGGGTTAAGGTTAGGTTTAGGGCTAAGGCTAGGGTTAGGTATTAGGGTTTAGGGTTAGGTTTAGGGCTAAGGTTAGGGTTAAGGTTAGGTATTAGGGTTAGGTTTAGGGCTAGGATTAGGGTTAAGGTTAGGTTTAGGGCTAAGGTTAGGGTTAAGGTTAGGTATTAGGGTTAGGTTTAGGGCTAGGATTAGGGTTAAGGTTAGGTTTAGGGCTAAGGTTAGGTTTAGGTTTTAGGGTTAAGGTTAGGTTTAGGGCTAAGGTTAGGTTTAGGGTTAAGTTTAGGGCTAGGATTAGGGTTAAGGTTAGGTTTAGGGTTCAAGGTTAGGTTTAGGGTTAAGTTTAGGGCTAGGATTAGGGTTAAGGTTAGGTTTAGGGTTCAAGGTTAGGTTTAGGGCTAAGGTTAGGCTAAGGTTAGGGTTAGGGTTAGGTCTTAGGGTTTAGGGTTAGGTTTAGGGCTAGGGTTAGGTTAGTATCCTATCCCTAATTTTACAAGTCCCCTCTATGGACTTACATATTCCATAATTTTTTTTTTGTAATCTCGAATTTTTTTTACGTAAATATTACTCGCGGTTACGTATTCAGGAGAAAACGGTTCTGGCCAAGCGTTGGCCAAGACTAAAAATCTTGTAATTTATGATGAAAATTACATCATATTGCTATGTTCAAAATATTAAAATCACGTATATTTTCTATGTTCATTAAGACCAGTTGTAGTACCACTTTTTTGCCACCAGGGGGCACATTTTCCACATTTTACAGATAATTGATAAAAAAGTAGTAAATTTGCAGAATTTTAAAAACGTGTTTATTACCCTAACCTGAATTCAGACATAGAACATTTCTGTAAATTTTCTGTATAGTAGAACAATTTTGTCATTTTCCTATGTCGACAGATCTTTTCTGTAAATTTTCCACATAGACATGTAGAACTTTAAAATAATTTGAAACTTGGGTAACAGTGAGTATGTTCCACTGCACTTCAGATCCTATCCCTAATTCAGACATAACCCTAACCCTAACCCTAACTGAGACATAGCAGATTTCTGTAAATATTCTACATGGACATGTAGAACTTTAAATTAATTTGAAACTCGGGTAACAGTGATGTATGCCCCACTTCAGATCTACAGTATGTAACCCTAACCTGAATTCAGACATAGAACATTTCTGTGAATGTTCTGTATAGTAGAACAATTTTGTAAATTTTCCATGCCGACAGAACTTTTCTGTACATTTTCCACATAGACATGTAGAACTTGAAAATAATTTGGGTAACAGTGAGTATGGTCCACTGAACTTCAGATCTACAGTATATAACCCTAACCTGAATTCAGACATAGAACATTTCTGTGAATGTTCTGTATAGTAGAACAATTTTGTCATTTTCCTATGTGGACAGAACTTTTCTGTAAATTTTCCACATAGACATGTAGAACTTTAAAATAATTTGAAACTTGGGTAACAGTGAGTATGTTCCACTGCACTTCAGATCCTATCCCTAATTCAGACATAACCCTAACCCTAACCCTAACTGAGACATAGCACATTTCTGTAAATTTTCTACATGGACGTGTAGAACTTTAAATTAATTTGAAACTCGGGTAACAGTGATGTATGCCCCACTTCAGATCTTCAGTATGTAACCC